AATTAATTAATTCAAGTTTATGCTTTAAAACAAGGCCTGAAAGTTATTATGTTGATGCATTTCATGTTTATCTGCTCATGTCCTACATGGGAACCCATGTAGGACAAGCATTTTTTTTCACTAGGATCATACTAAAAAAAGCCTCACATGTTTGATTAAAAAGTTCTTTTAGAGCCATAATCGAAGGAATGACATCTTACAAATATGCTTCATGTTTGCTGAAATTAACAGTTAAAGTTCTGGATGGCTATAAAATATGAAAAACTTAATCTAATAAATCCCATTGGTATGAATTTAGATTGATTGTATAGCTGTATAGGTTGCTAATGGAGCTTTTTGATCAAACATTTTTTCAATCATACATCAAAGCTGTTTCACTCAATATAAAAATGAGCTTTACGTCACGAGTTTATAAAAAAAAAGTATTTCTGCATAAAAAGTATAAAAATTCACTAACTTTAAAATAAAAGTTTTTTTTTTCTATAAATGCTTTCATCGTCAAATAAAAGAAATATAAAAGATCTATCTTTCCTTGTTAAATAAATAATTACATTATAAGGAATAGAAAACAAATATTATTAAAATATTTCCAATGATTTGTGATCACTTTTCTGTTTTTTGCGATATTTATGAAAAACCCATCTTGGGAAAACTTAGACTGACTTATCTTTATGTTGGACTGTTGAAACTTGAAACACATATCCATGAATGTTTAATTTTTCTGAATCTTTTGTCATCTGTGTGTTTTATTTTAAAAAAAGTTTTTTTTAATGCATTTACATTATAAAAGTTATTCTTTTTTAAATGCCAAATGTAATATTTTTGATGGATGACATAAGTTATTACAACTTCAACCTTTCATGCATATTAAAATCGTAAAAATATTTTATGTTCTTCTAGCTATGTCAGGCAATATGTTTTTAAACTTGTGATGCTTGGCAAATTTCTCTAGTTTTTTGCGTAAATTTTAAAATAATGATGTAAAACATAAAATGTTAAAATATTTTTTCTAATATTATTTTACGATTTTGATATCTGATCTTTAATAATCTCTGTTTCATATCACATTTAGCTTAAGTAAATTTTTTAATATTTTTATATATTTGATAATAAATATCTAAAAGATATTTATTGGTATTTTGTTTTGATAAAAATTAACATTAAATTATAGAAATTTAGCTATGTTTGTCATATGCCCTGTTAATTTAAAAATCAAAGGAAACATTGGTGATATAGTAGGAATTATTCCATCTTGCAGTAACTTTAACTTTACTAAAATAACTCCTTTTGTGTATTTGATAATTAAGAAACATTTCACAAATGCGATTGTGGAATTTGATTGCTTATGTTCATTATTATCCCATAACTCTTTATTATTAATACTATCTAATATTATTAATTATCCAATAACTCTTTTTATTATTAGTACTATCTAGTAATGTTAATTGTTTTTTAATTAGATTACTTGATGTAGAGGCAGTAGATATAATTTTTTTTATCAGACAATTTTTCAGCTAATATATATCCTTTAAGGTGTTTTATCAATACATGGCACCTAATTGCACAAGTGGTGAATGTTTTAGGACAACTCCCACCTTTAGAAAGTAAAGCTATGCATAGTAGGCAAATGCAAAAACGATTGTCTTTCTTTGAAACTTCAAAATATTCCCAAACACTGCTTTTGAAAGACTTTTTTTGGAAGACAGTATTAATTTTTTAATCTTTTAGAAGTATAAACTTCTAAAAGATTAAAAAATTTAATACTGAATTATAAAATATGAAGTTTAAACTAAAATAAAAAAAACTAACATAACAAATATGTATTTTTATGTAAAAAATGTTATTTGCATAAAATGTTATTATATCATTTATGTTAAATGTTGTAAATTTATTTTTGTTACATAACTTTTATACAGTCAACTCCCGGTTGTTCACGGTTGTTTGAAGTGGCACTTATTTGAATTTCCCACTTAGTCAAACCACTTTTTATTCCCAGTGAATTTTCCTTAACAAACTCATGCAAATATCCATCATTTATTCGAACCAGCAGTTATTCAAAATTTGGTTTATTCGAAGTAATTTTTTGCTCCCCTTGTCAAACACCTGTCAGTTGTTCAAAGTTCTCCTTCGGCTCTAGATACTGTTGCATTGCATTTCGAAATATAACTTTGTCAAATGTAATCAAAATATATGTGTGTATATATGTTAAAAAAATAAAGTTATCAAAATATAAGAAAATTGAACACATATGGAGCGCAATTAAAATTTTAACATGGCTTTTACTCGAAAGAAGGCAGTACCATGCCTGTATTGTGGGGGTCCCATATTGGATGCAATCAACATACCATTTTTTAACAAACTATCTTTTTTTCATGCAAATTTTATAGTAATGTTGAGCAAAAATGTCAAATTATGAATCAAAGATAAATATCTTGCTTTCAAAGATTGGAAAAAGGTCAAACTAAAAATAATGTAACCGAAAAGCTTAGTGTTTCTCAAAGCACTTTAACTTACTAGATTAAGCATTAAGAAGATATAATCGTTAAAAGTCAATTTGGAGCTAGGAGACCGTCAAGTTAAGTTTTGGAAAGCATGAT